AGAAAAACAAACATTCTAAATGCTGAAAACGAACCTTCAAGCAGATATGTCATTGGTTTTTGTACAGTTCAGGAGGGGTGTTTCAAAATTATTTCACTGCAAAATTCATATCATGGAACTCTGTTTGATCGTTGACAGACGTGAGACACCCGTCCTGATTTTTCTTGTACTTTTTTCTTGTTCATCACTGCATATATGCAAAACCAAACAAACCACAAGCACCAGTGGACGCAGCGAGTGCCCAATATGACGAACAGAGATACAACAATCCTGTATTTGATTCTGCAGATCCTGACAGTTCCACCGCGCCGTTGGGAGAAAGATCCTCCACAACTCTCAAACCAACTGCTTTCATGGTGCCACCTTTCACTAAAAATCCTATGAAACCACAGCCCTACAAACCCAAAGGCCAGCGTGCTAGCGACCCCCATGACGGCACTGCTTACCATCAGGGTAGAAGGGAGTCAACTCGACCCAAATCGACACCACCATCAGCACCGACCGATGTCCACATCCTTACTGCCAGTGAGAACCCCTATGCTGAGCCCCCATCGCCCGGTGGAATGACAGTGTACACTGAGGTCTCAGTTCCTCAGATCAAGGCCAGCACCGATCGTGACACGCCATCACTACCAGATCACCTCGTCTATGCTGACTTGAACTTAGAACCAGACTCATCTGAAGATGTCGGTCAGCCAGTAATCTCGGAGGAGCCAGTGGCTGTGTACGCAAGAGTTATGAAAAATCGCCCCAACTCTGAGGAGACGATGTGACTATAAACTGATTATATTTGTTTCATTGTAGAAGATTATACATGTACACCGTGTAATTACTTCTTCATACTTCATTCTCAACGTACGATAAAGCCACGGTTTCAACTTTCAGGAAAACTCTTCCAATCAACACAGTTGTGATTCGACAAAACACTGTTGAGGCTTGTAAATCCTGCTGTTGGATAGTGAGGCTATCAATCTCTACATTTTTATTGCAACGGCCATTACGATCGTTTGTACATGTACTTTGAAGAGTTTCGCCTTTGCTCAAATGTTCTTATTTAGCGTGTATATTGCCCACTTTACTTACCGTTAAGCTTAAGATCTTCATAGGCTTATGAATATAAACGTATACAAAAACTACGCTGAATGCCTACATGACCGAAAGAATACTTGTAAACATAGCTGAATCGGTTTTGGATAAAGTATTTTTAACACGCTGTATGTTTCTTTACATGAGCCTATAATATTAAGCCTGGATTTTACATTTGTTCTTTCTCAATAAGTCAATTACAGTGACGCATAGACAATGATAAAGTTTGTAAGGAATGGCACATCGGGCCAGACATGCAGGTAAAATTAAACTGAATAAGAATAAGTTAGGTGTATTTTTAGCTATTTGGAAGATTTAAACCGACTGCTTTTACTCAGAAATACGCGAGACATATATATGTATTGCAATGCAACTCTGAAGTAAAATAATACAGGAAATCTGGAGCCTATGGTGACAAATTTGCTACTACTTTAGAGTGACGAAAGTTGGGGGTACATGCAAATATTTCTAGTCATAATAAAATAATGGAACGTCTGATAAAACATCAGCTTTAACCTTACACCGAAACCCTGGCTATGGAAGAAAAATAAAATATGTGGTCACCAATATGAAAAGCCACATCAGCATAATCACTGAGGAGATTGCAATACAAGCAAGTAAGGCACAAGGGTGAATTTCAAGCAGAACAGGTTACCGTTTCAGACTCGCAGACAAAAGGTAAGCAACTGACTAGACATCATAGGAAACAACAAAACCCATGCATGTTCTATTACTACTGCAAAAATTCGAAACCTACACAGAATACGAAAAGAGTTATTGCAGTTATGCTGCAACTTCAGGTTCCTACTGATAAGAAAGGTGCTGGGCCAGATAATCATCAAGCTATTTCAGGCTATTGCAAGATTACAAGAGGTTTAGGGGCCCGTTCGCAAAGAAATTTCAAAGATGTAATACGCACAGGATGATGGGATTTCGTTTGTTAGACCAGGTTCATAGCTATTTGTAGGCTCTGATCATGGCTAGCTGACCCTGGTTAGAATAAGAATGCAATGAATGACCTCTGTCAAGTTTGGTCTGTGTGCAAGTTCAATCAGTATGAGACTTGCACACACAGAGAGTTGAATTGAGGCATAATAGAAGTGCAGCCTACACGGGTCCATATCGCACACAGCTGCTTGCGTGTGTAATAATTTTGGCCATAGATGAAAATGATTAAACCGGACTTCAAAAATCCTTCTTTAGAAATCGACCTAAAACAGGAGAACAGAATGGATTGCAAGATCTCATTGCGTTTGTGTTTACTTTATGTGTTGTTTTTGCTGTATGTAAGCGGACTTGTGGGGGTTGTCGGTGCACAACCCACAGCGACTGCGTGGATCGTATCACCGGAGAGAGATCAGAAGATAGGTGGGCGGGTTGAGATGAGGTGTGTCGCCTCAAACCTGGAGGAAAATCACACCGTGGAGTGGAGGACTGAGAATCTAACACTGAGATGGGGTGACACTACTGTTGGAGGAAATGATCCACGATTTATGTTCGAGACAAAGCAGACAGGTAACAGGACAATTACTCAAGAATTCAACATTAATGATTTACAATCTGGTGACGATGATGAATATGTGTGTAATGTTAAGGACCCAATAGCTAGCGGAGGACATAAGATTCTTGTCAATATCACGATCAGACTGAGAGTGTACTCCTCCAATGAGTCCTTCCCTGTCTGCTCTCCCGACGGGCCCATTACAGTAGACGCTAGGACACAGCTACATTTGTCATGTGCATCCGATACTGGTAGCCCCCACATCGATATTTCTCAGCAAACGCCACCGACGGTGTTCATCAGTTACCAATGGCGAGTATTAATCAGCAGTGGACTATCCTCCAGGTCATTAGATTTAATTGTAGATGTTAGCGATGACAATCTAACGTTCGTGTGTACTATCCAATCCGTGACTTTTTACGGTGAATTACCGGTACACCTGCACTCTTGCATCATTGGACCCATACATGTAGTGTCAGTATCTCCAACATTCACAACACCACTCTCGGGACAAACAACTTCAAACCCATTGACAAAGTTTCCCAGCAGCTCAACACCAGGCAGTGACTTGAACACATCTCTCGTTGCAGGTGCATCAGTAAGTGGAGTAGTTGCACTTGTCCTCATTGCCTTCTTCATTGTGATCTGCCGAAGGAAGGGCCACTCTATCAAATCTAGGAATAAAAAAACAAACACCAATTCGACCTCGAACCAAACGAAAGTGGAATTTCAATCCGGCCTGTTGCATATATATGACAATCCTGGATTGGTTGGTCAAGACAATCAGGAACCAGATCAACATAACGAGACAGGAATTGCCGGTGAAATTCCCTTGCATGCAAATCCAACATCGGGCTGCAGCACTAGCACCTTACAAGCCTCTAATACACCTGTGCCTGCTGAGGAGAGAGTTGAGAGCAAAATGCTGCCTGTGTACGCAAAACCAAACAAATCACAAGCCTCAAAGGAAAGCGATCAAGGAGTGAAGATTCTGCATCCAGGTCAGTCAGGAGAGACTATGGAGCAGAGATACAGCAGTCCCGTCTTCGATTCTACAGACCCCGAGAGTATCACTGATCAATTGGAAGACAAGATGCCCCATAAGCCGATAGCAAAGGTTCCACCGATGACGAAAATACCATCGAAACCTCTTCCTTATAAACCCAAACTGCAGCGTGTAAGTAATCCGGATGACAACACTCCAAACTACCCACGACCACCACCCACACATCAGGATGTTCCACCCCCAGCAGCATCCATGGACACTGGTCAAATTGGAAGGAGCGATGGACCACAGCCACTGACCAATGCTGACGTTTCCTACGCTCAGATCTCAGTCCCTGGGAATCGGAGCAGTGCCAGGCCTAACCAAGACCCGACCACTGACCAGCCATCCAGTGACCATCTTGTCTACGCTGATTTGTCTCTGCAATCATCAAATCCAGCCACAGATGAAGATCAAGGGGAAGAGCCTGTAATGTATGCAAGGGTCATGAAGAAATAAGAAGACAGGTATCTAACTCACCACTGTCCGGGCTGATTTTTCTTGGTTGTGTTCAGTTTTTCATTCTAGTAAGATATGCGAGTCTCTAAAATGACAGGATTTAAATGGTTATTCTGTGTGATTACATTTCTTGTAAATCTTGTCAGAATTAACAGTTGATGCAACTGTTTGTTGACGAGGTCATTAGTATTTGAATATCGCTCAATTGAATCATAACACAATTTATAATCATGTATAAAAATTTAAAGTCAACATGGGATAAGATTGACTTGTTTTTGCGGTGCCATTTTGTTAATAAGTTTAACAGTCTGCTTAGTTTAGTATAACAGGTGCTTCTATGAGACAAAAAACTAAGCCTGTAACCAAAACAATTTGTACATTTACGGCTGCGTATGGGGGAAAAATTTCGTTTTAATGCCGACTGTTATAATAAATGATAATAACAAGCACTTGTAAAGCGCCATCTATCTAGCAAACTATTCCGAGGCGCTATATCATCATTATCCCCGCACATTGGACTCACACATCATCTGACCATTCCTGAAACCATCTCAGCTCCCTGGGGAGTATACTAGTCTGGTGCTGCCATTTCGGCTAATCATAACTTTGTCCGCCCTCACAGGTACCCAGTTACTCCTGGCTGGTTGGAGAGAGGCACATCGGAGTAAAGTGACTCGCCTTGGCTGTTGAAATAGCTTGTAGTTTATCAACTGATATTCATAGGGCCATAAACGTTTGTAAATTTCAGTTTTCAAGTAATCAGTCTAATTCATCAAAAGTTTATCAAATTCTTGATAAATTGAAATAAGTGCGAATGTAAAATAAACTGAAAGTAATGGTTGTGCTTAAATTTTGATCATCTGGGAAACTCAGATTCGTTTTAAATGCACTCATATCGTGTTTAGCTTTGCGGAATTTGTTTATTGAAATCATACTGCATCTTTGTATAATTTGCATTTTTTTACTCGATCAGGAAAAGGCTTTGAGCCATTTATATTTATTGAAAAAGTGGCACAGGGAGTGTAACGCCAATGCCGGAGTTTGTTGTTGCGAAAATATGTTTGTGCATGGCTTGTATTTTATTGTCGCCAACGTGCATGTGAAATACTGAGCCGACATTACAATGAGTGTCTGGGTCAGTCATTGTTATGTCTGAGTTCAGTTTTTACCTGAGCTCTGACATAGCCGACCCTGGTTAGCATACGAAAGGGAAGCGGCATTGATACATTTCAGCACTTTTGGCATCTTTTATAGGGTGATCGTATACTGGTCTGCCTACATGGGAAAAAACTAGATTTGTACGGAACGTATAAGTCTTTGTCGAGGGTTCCAGTCTTCATTGACACATCATTGAGCTACCTCTTAGATACAGATTATTTAGGTAAATAGAACGATGTATTAGGCGGAAGTTGATTTGTTTATTTCTCCTGAGTGTGTGGTGCTTCCACCAGGAAGGAGTCCTATTTGCAGGTGCGCAACCTACGATAACAGCGATGATCCTAACACCGGAGGCTGATCGAAAGGAGGGTGGCTCGATTGAGATAAAGTGTGTTGCTATCAACCTGACCTCAAATCACACCGTAGAATGGAGGACTGAAGAACCGGAGATGGTTCTAAGATTTGGAACCCAGACTTATTGGACCAATAGTCGCTTCATGTTTGAAACACTTATGACAGAAAATGAATATATTCAGGAAATTTTTATTGACCCTTTGCTCAGAAACGACCTGGATGAGTATATATGCAATGTTCTTGACTTGACAATCAACACAGGAAACAGAGTTGTTGCCACAGATAGAGTGAAACTATCAGTGTTGTACTTCCCAAATGAACCCTTCCCTATCTGCTCTCCTGATGGAGCCATTACAGTTAATGTCGGCACTGAATTAGACATGCAATGTTCATCGGAGGCAGGTAACTCCGCTGTAATGATGGAAGTATTGAAAACGGCAGAACTGTCCAAAAGCTACATGTGGATGATTATAACAAGCAATAATACCATCACTGGGTCATCCAATTCGACGGTCGATTATACTGACAATAACATCAGATTCCTGTGTGTCATCTCCTCAGTGTATTACCCTTGCATGGTCCGCTCTTGCCAAATAGGACCAATCAAAGTATGCGGTAGGGTACCTCTTGTTACTGGATGGAAATTGTGAGGAAGATATAATGACAACTGAGATATCTATGACATCATCTAACATCCAGACACCAATCGAGTGTATCAATATTCAGCCATCTCCCCCAACTTCATGGATCGCTGCCTTCGTGGTTGCTGTCGTTTTCCTTGCTCTCTCTTGTGTCATTATCATCCTTTTGACCTGTAAAAATTTCAAACAAAGAAGGCTCATCAGTAGTCTAACTGAGAAAGTCAGTGTACTGGTGCCTAAATCTGATCCATACACGGAGCTGCATTCGACGGATGACAGTAACACAGCATACACAGAGCCGGTTACCAAAGGATCGACCAGTACACGACATACCTACTACAATACACTTGACATTGAGAATGAAAAGACAGCAGATGACTACGAACAACCCGAGGACAAATATGAAGCAGTTGGTGATCCAAAGAGAAACCAGAACAAGATTTGAATAATCATACTTTAGACGTTATCTGTTTGGTGTTTATACACAACAAAAGTGTTGGCTGTAACAACATGAAGTGTAAAGATTTAGAAAGGAGCAAGGTCTTGTTAATACATCTCTTCTTTTTGATGAATAACTGACACGAATAACTGAAAGTACTGAATAAGTCATGTATTGTAGAATCATTGGCTTTGCACTGAGCTTCACCCAAGCATAATGTACCTTAGTTGTATGCGTTCTGCAGGATATGCACTTAACAAAAAATAAAAATTGTTCTTGCTCCAGCATTGCTAGGCGGTGCACTCAAGACGAGCGTTATATGTTATGTTTAGTAATTTGAGCTCTGCTTGTGGTTACTTTCCTTGTACATATACGACAAATTGGTTCAAACGGGAAGTTGGATCGATGCAAACAATTACTTACATTGTTCCAACCTGGAATTAGTTCACATTAATTGAAAAGGTTGCCTTACATGTATCTAAAAGTGGCCGTAGATTAGATTTTCATTTGCGAAATAAATTCATGTGGCTTTTATTGTAAATGGCTATAGAAAAATGAATTGGCATTATGAATGTCTAGGTTTGCTCTTGTTACGTTCCAGTTTAATTTTACCTGAGCTCTGACATAGCTGACCCTGATTAGCATATGAGAAGAAAAGAGGGAGGGATTCGTTACAGTGAAAGCACAGTAAGCGGAAACTGACAGAAAAAGAAAACTAGATTTACACTGAACTTGTAGAAATGTAAGGCTAATTGTCGTAAGTATTGGCTGACTTAACTGGAGATATTCTGGATTGATCAACAAATCGCAGGCAAGCAGAGAGATGGACGAAATAAAACGTATTGGTTTATTCCTCCTGTGCACATGGTGCTTGGATCAGAAACGAGTCATGATTGCAGGTGCGCAACCTACGGTCGCAGCGATGATCGTAACACCGGAGACTGATCGTAAGGAGGGTGGCTCGATTGACATGAAGTGTGTTGCTATCAATCTGACCTCAAATCACACCGTAGAATGGAGGACTGAAGAACCGCAGATGATTCTAAGATTTGGTACCCAGACTTTTTGGACCGATAGTCGCTTCATGTTTGAAACACTTATGACAGAAAATGAATATATTCAGGAAATTGTTATTGACCCTTTGCTCAGAAACGACACGGATGAGTATATATGTAATGTTATTGACTTGACAATCAACACAGGAAACAGAGTTGTTGCTACAGATAGAGTGAAACTATCAGTGTTGTACTTCCCAAATGAACCCTTCCCTATCTGCTCCCCTGATGAATCCATAAGAGTCGACGCTGGAACGGAATTTAACATGCAGTGCTCAACTGAGGCTGGTAACTCAGCAGTTAGGATAACTGTTAACGACACATCTTCTCGATACGATGCCAACCTCTCGGACTTTGTGGCCACTAATGACACATTATCGGTTTCATTAAATCTAACTGTTTGTGCCACTGATGTTAATACCACATTTGAGTGCACGATTTCATCTAAGTATTACCCTAACATGACACAAGCATGTTTCATCGGGCCAATTAACGTCGTCGGTGCAACCAAATCACATGCTACGAGCTGTATAACAACCACACCCTCAGACTCCAACCAGACCATGATGGATCCTGTTGCAACAACACCTACTCCCTCATTCTCTCACACGGCAATAATAGCAGGTGCTTCAGCGGGTGGAGTAGCTGCACTTGTCCTCTTATTGGCCTTGGTCGTCATTAGCCGAAAGTGTGGCTTTCTAAGTGCCAATTCAACACCGGCAAAACACGACACTGACTCGAAGTCGATGCCTTCAATCAGTCAACAAGCTTCAGACGTGGCAACACGCAGAAATGACGGATTCGGCGCTTCGGTAAACCCAGACGCAGCATCGGTGACGGGTCCCCCGTGTTCCACAGATTCAGGCAATTCAGGTATCGAGATTCGCACCCCTATCAAAGAAACAAGCCATGATGACAGTACAAAGTTACGGGTGACTCCTCCTAGCACGGCAGCCGAAACAAGATACCAATCCTTTGACGCCACCCAACAGAAGTACAGCAATCCTGTGTTCGATTCTACTGACCCAGACAGTACTTCTGAACCATCAGGACTTACACCCATCACAGCTCTCAAACCGATAGCCAAAGTTTCACCGACAGTTAAAGTTCCTAAGAAGCCAGAGCCTTATAAACCTAAAGCACAGCGTGCGAGCAAGCACAATGAAGTTACTGATGACCTACAGGAAGGAGATCACAAACCCTGACCCCACCCCCTACTTCTCCTCTAGCAACGCCGAACAATGACGAGGTTTCTTACGCTCAGATCTCGGTCCCTTCAAAACAGGAACAAAATAGGCCTAGTCAAGAACCATTTCTTAATCAGCCATCCAGTGACAATATGGTTTATGCGGATTTAGATTTGAAGTAAATTCAGTCTACAAGCAAACTGTGAATTTGAAAGCACGATATGGGCAAAATAAACCTTTTTAAAGTTTTTGTCAGCTTTCTTGTTGTTTATAATACCAACTCTTTTTCTTTGGTTAAATTTGGCCCTGTCATTCTCACGGCATTAAAAATTGTTTTCTTTTTTGATCGCACCGCAGTCTTTACATCATTTTCGTCTACTTACAGATTGTGTGTATATTTTGGAAGATTAAAATGTCACGGTTATAATGCTTCATTTTCGGTGTAATTAATACAAGCACTCACTTTATAAAGATAATGTAAAGCCTTATGCTCTTTTCAACGAGTCAGTGTACAAAATGATATGCACAAGTCAGTCAAATTACTTAAATTGTCTTGTACCAAACAACATAATTATTACATATTACACTTTTGAGAGTATATAGCCAAGTGGCTCAATGTAGTAGTTTTGCCGGTCTTACATGAAACTGGGACTCCTATTATACATCTATATTGTCTCATTTGCCAAATGGTCTGTGTGAGACATGTGCAACGCGGTTAATGAGTCCGTATTTCATGAAGTTCCGATTTCACACCACACCTTTTCTTTTATAATCTGATTTATTTATTGTTGGCATTCTTAAGTCGTTAAAAAGTAAACATGGGATTGCTTTTGTTTAAGTGTTAAATTCTAAATCAAATTTCGATTTCGTCGTAATTATATACTGTATCAGTAAAATCAAGATAAAGAAAGAAAACTTTTTGTAAATGTCTAACGATGTCGCCGCAGACTTGAAAAGACTATTATTAAAAAAAATTATTTAGACGTACTGCTGCGCAGTCGTATGCTACTAACATTGAAAAAAACCATGATTGCACTTATCTAATTTTAAATTTAACTGTTTTGTTATCAGTTTAAAAGCTTTGTTATGTAAGCGATATTTCGTAAGGTAAAAAATGCTCTTGGGCAATGCGCATTAATTTAAAAAAATGCATGAATTCATGTTAAGAAGTAAACTATGTGGATGTATTATGCATGTAAAGGGCGATAAGTTTAATAGTATTTTAAATTTAATAATTATTGCAGATAGTCCCGATTCTTAAAAACAAAACTACGGAGATACAAAGACATGCAGTACGGTTAAGCCTAAATGGAAAACAGGACAATGTTCATACTATGTATATAATTATAATTTCCCCAAACAAGGAACTTCCTGCTGAAATTCTTTGATTTTTACGTCTATTGTAACAAAAAAGCTAGATCAAGTCTGTTTCAGTAAGGATTACTAGAGCAAAAATGCTATCCGGAATTTCATGAACTTTGTTTTTAGACAGGCATCGGTTCACCTTATAAGTTAAACACGCAATATGTAACCTACAAATATTAAGTTTTTAGAACTGCTTTGTTTTACAGAAAATTCATGACATTTAGCTCTCGATATATTTTCATGTAACATTGCAGGACTTTCCTTATAGTTTTTGTGTACTTTGTGATCAATACTTTGTTCAATTAATGACTTAAAAATTCTTGTATTCATTTAAAGGGGTTGTTTGCTACTGAAACCAAACTTTTGCCAAACGCTCGCGGAAAACTGTAGATGACGCGAAATATATAGTTCTGCTGCCGCTGTAATATGAATGAAATTAGTGCCATTTTTCCCTTGTGAATGGCTGTTTACATAGTTTGAATGGGTAATACGTTCATGAGAGGGGTCACGCATGTAACGATGATTTGTAGAGGGGGCTTACAATGCTACAGTGAGGTGAGGCAGGTGGGTGGGGTGAAATGCTGTAGGGGAACAATATTGGCCTGACTATTGGTAACACATTGGATAGGTCAGACTGCGGAAGGGACATGATGATAAGTGGATTGGGTACTGCGTCGGTTAGACTGGTGGATGTGATAGTATAATGGAAATAAAGGTTGAATGAATGGGCGTAAGTATGAACCTATGGGCGGACTAAGGTGGGAGGTCAGTTCACAGGTAATTAATGAGACAGGCAAGATTTGAAACTTTGCAGAGTGATGGCTGGACTGGGTGAGGCTTGTTAATGCACCATGAATTCACCAGTTCTTTTCAGAACCCGACTTTTTAATCGAAAAGAGATAGTTTCTCATATAGTGCATCTACAAGCCTCAAATAAAGAATAAGACAACGGGTTGTACTTCAAGGCGACACCCTCAAGAAAGCCTACTCAATTCATTCATAGTTACATGCGTTGCTCAGACTAAGCCACGGGGAGAAGTCCCATGAAAACTGTATACAGTGCTCTCACTCCCGGAAATTTGTGCCGTGCTGACAGTGATGCATAGAAACATAATTGTTTGAAATCAGTCTACGGGCAAACTGGTTTATGGATGGGTTCGCATGCAAACGAGTCTGCCTCATCAGGATTCACGTGAAAGAAGAACATTAAGTCAAAGACTCTCTCCAATTTTGCCAAGACGCAAAATTTCCAACAAAATATGACGTGTTAAAAATGTGAACCCTTGGCACCCGGATAGACGACTGGTTACAGGGTTGCCTTCACGCAAGCATCTTGGCTTAACGTTTTAATAGTAACGTCATGTGACTCTTCACGAAGAGGAAAACGACACAAGAGAAAAAAAGGTGAAATACTTCAACTTCCAAAATTTCAATTCAGACAGCCGGATGTCCCCGCAACAGTGCAATCACTTTTTTGTTCCTTTTCGGGCATCACTATATCAAAGGGCTGGCTTTCCACTTTGGGAAACCCCCTTGAATTCCAGAGTGATCGTTTTTGCATAATTACATTGAGTCCGAGGTCACACTATTCTAATAGAAAGTTCTGCTGAAAACGGTAAAACCATTGTCCGTGCAAGCGGTTACAGGGTCGAGGGGGAAAATACTGTACCATGTAAAACCGAACTGATAACTGTGAAAAAATGAACCAATGAGGTCAACCAAAAGAATGCATTCCTTGTTGATGCAGTTTCCATCATAAATAGCGAGGTGGCCTGTATTTTGACAAGTATTCGCTGTCTCATTAGCGGATTATCGTTGCTACTTTCAACTATCAAAGAAACTCCTTTAGTGCTCGTCATCTATGATCATGGATCGTGAGTGTCGGTGTCTGCACCTGTCGATGTTTGTTCTTAGTGTCAATTTATTCGTCAGAGTGCATTCACAGGTGGTGCCTCAGGTGAATATCAGCAAGCTTCTGCCGCCCGGTGACCCATTTACCGTGCGTGAAAATAATCCGTTGATGCTGAGGTGTGACGCTTCAGATTTGCTGGAGGAGAACATCATGGAATGGTCTTCCCTGATAATGGGCTCCATGCAAATAATAGCAAGAAATGGAACGAGTTTGGTACCGAGATATGAAATCGAGGTCCTTTCTTCTTCCCCATCGTCCAGGATAGAGGTTCTTACAATCAGTAACTTCAAGAGAAGTGATTCTTCTGCTTTCAAATGTGAGATCAAAGATTCCTGGTCGGTTGGTGCTTCAATTCTGACTTCCGCAGTGTTTGACTTTATCCTGGTCTTTTTCCCAGCACCAACCTACCCCCGCTGCTACCCCGATGGTCCTTTCACAGTGCAAGCAGGAACAACGGTTCGCATGAATGTTACCACCGAACCAGGAAATCCTCAAGTAGACATTCACAGGTTTACACCTGGTTTTGATTACGACTGGGTTCAATCTATTTCACCGGATGGACTCAACGAAATTCAGACCTTACAGCTGACAATCGCTGAAGCTGATGAGGGAAACTATTTCAATTTCACGATCACATCACAACGGGAGTTCCCTGGGAAACAGAGTTCGTGTTTGATTGGACCAATCACTGTGTTATCCGGGACAACTTCTTTCGACTACCCTGCGAAAACAACAGATCAAGTAATCGTCGGTACACCTGAACATTTCAAAGAAACATCTCAAATGAATTCCATTCGAAGCACAAGTACCACTTGGCAGCTAACAGACAAAGAGATGACCGACAACACAACGACATGGATCATCCTTGCTTGTGTTGGACTTGTTCTCTTCACTGCTTCCTTCATCATCAACATTTTCTTCGTGAGGCAGTGGCATCATCAGAAACTCAAGAAGAAAGAGCGCCAAGTTCCAGGGACTGACCCGTACGCAGAGCTTCAACCGACGGATACCAGTGACAAAATGTACACAGAGCCAACACCTGTAGGACTAACTCGCCCTCAGCACACATACAGTCAGACAATTGAAATGGAGGACCAGATCTTGGAAGACGACTACGAAAGACCAAGGGAGGAACTTCAGAGACAGTACGAATCGGAACCGAAGTACCTGACAATAGAAGGTTAAACACTATTGAATTTAAAACACTAGCTTTAGAAGACACCTACCCAGTCAGTGACTGGGTGATAACTTTCATGAAATAAGTAATTCATTTAAAAAAGGGAGCCTTTAACCTGGAAGGCACGGGTAATGGGGAGGAAGGTATATTGTTATCAATTAATTTGATATTTTTTAAATAACTGCTTATAAAAAGTTCACAGCTTATGAAAGAGGATAAAGTTAACATTGAAGAAATTGAAGGACTTAAAAAAGATCAAATGATCGCTGGGTGATTTGCTCCAGTGTGACTGTTTACCCCCCTGCAAGAACCACGCTGTTATTTCTACTGCTTTGTTTGGCGTGATTTCTTTTGAAATCTTTCAGGATCTTTAATGTGCAAGTATTTTTTTGTAAAATGTAAAACTGCCTGTATACCATTTAGAAAAATGTCCTGCATTTCTGGAATTTTCCCAACATGTTTTCAGTAGAAACTTTCTCCCAAATTTGCTCAATTTGAATGGTTTCCCGAGAATTCCTGACCTCGGAAAAGGGGGTCATGTTCTTAAAACAAGCAAATTCCCCATGCAATTTAATCGATTCGTTATTCCAACAGCCCCTTCTGAAAATGTAGCTCGTCCGATGTCATTCGGGCACTGCAACACGCGCGCTCGAGGTCTGCCCAATCAGCGCGGCCATACGCTGTCTCCTACAAGTTCTCTGTTCTCGAAGTACGTGCCTTTTAGCCTTTTTCGGCTTATTCGCTCAATACTTTAGGAACCACTGGGGGCGTCCTTTCCTTCTGCGTTCTTTGAATACAGCTTTTGCATAATCTCAGTGTCATGCCATGAATGGAACCAGCAAGTCATGGGAGAAACTTGAAATGCCAAGCCTGCTTGACATCCGGCATCTCTGATGACCCCTTTTAGCAATGCCAACGGGAAAAGAATTTAAAGAAAGTTTGTTTCCTGGTTGGGGGCGCTCATTGCATTGTTGACGGAAATGAAAAACGCGGAAGTCTGTGTCACCAAGTTTATAGACACGGTATGTTCTTAACTGTTATTTTTGCATTGGCTGTTCACTGTAATATAACTGAAGCTAATTTCAGAGCTATAAAATTGGAAAGAATGATCGCGAAGTATTTCTCTCTGCTGGGCGTTTGGTTCGCACTTCACACCGGTGGGCCCTCGATAATCGTCACTGGGGAACCAACAGCGTCGGCGTGGATCGTAACACCGATTGCCGAGCGTAAGGAGGGCGGGTGGGTTGAGATGCGATGTGTCGCCTCGAATCTCCAGGAAGATCACGTGGTGGAGTGGGCGACGGCACGTGATCGATTCGGGGCAGATGCTGTAGCAGGGACGGACCCGCGATTTATGGTTGAGACCAATCAGACGGAAAATGGAAACATCACTCAAGACTTCATCATCAGTAATTTACGGAGGAACGACACCGGTGACTATCTCTGCAATGTGTACAACCAATCCGTTTCCAGTACAAACATCGTAGCCACTACTGTAGTATCGTTATCCGTCTTGTACTTTCCCGATGAGTCCTTCCCTATCTGTTCCCCTGATGGTCCTATAACTGTCAACATTGGAACACAGCTGAACATGACATGTTCATCTGAGCATGGAAATCCAACAGTCAGGATGTCGATATCTCAAACTCCACCCAGTTCAAGCACGGTTACGTGGACAGCTCTAAACAACGGGGATAGAATCTCACGCTCACTAAATCTTACCGTGGATGCCTCGCATGAAGGTGCATTATTCCACTGCTTTATCTCCTCGAAATCCTTTCCTAATATGACTGACTCTTGTTCCATAGGTCCTATAAATGTGACAAATGTGGATAAGTCCGAACAAACCACTGTGACAGAACCTAATTCCGAATACACAACGCTTGAACCTCTTCATTCATCGGCCATTGCATCCGCCGTGGCCGCTGGGGGCGTCCTCGTCGTCGTTGTGGTCGCCATTACTATCTGCCTTTGCAACCGAAGGCAGAGATGCCTCACGAAGGGCCCAACTCAACCCGTAACACATGTGTCAACCTTTGATACTTACACAGAGACTCACAAATCAACCGTTGGTGACAACAGGGAGTGTTTCGAACTTGCAGCTAAAGAAGCAACTACGTGTAACTCTGCCCCGGATGGGGAAACTAACGTTGACAACATGGAAGCAGCAACGGAGGAGGTGGCAACGAAGGATACCGCCACACCCCACCAGAAAGATGGGAATAACACTGAAACAGATTAACTGCAAAGCAATAAATCAACTCATTGTACATAAAGACGTGAAGAACATGAGCAAATCGTGGGATAATGGACGGATGAAGAAAACCTAAAAC